TAATTGCTTACGTTTGACAATAAAAAGGGGTATATAATAGGGTATATGCCGAGCTAATGTTTTTCCCATACTGATAAACTTCCGTTGACTTGTCATTGTGAACTTTTTCCATTTTATACGGTTCCTTTTACAGCATCAATGTTGTAATGTCATTAAAATACATTCAGTTAAATAAACTTTGGCATTCATTTAGTTGCTCAAGCGTAAAACGAGACCAAAAGCCGTTTACTTGCACGCGCCTGTCAGAATCTGAAGGCTAGGGCAAAAGCTCCATTGAATATACTGAGGTAAAATAAACGGTCATATTATAAAGACATGGCGGGGGAACGTGTAATTTAATGCAGTGCTTCTTGTACAATTCAGGACCCACTTTATATCGGAAATCATTCAGCCAGTGGAGATCGGTGATTTTTAAAGAAAACAGACCTTAAACGCGCCGGTTTTTGCATTGGCATACAGTTCGCCGGAAGCGCTTAACCTAGGTTAGTGGCAAATTAAAAGTCCCATTACCATGCTTAGGCATATACCCTACTGAATGAGTTCCGTTTGAGCTCATTTCAGTTTTGTTTCATTTATTACAGCTCTCATTCATCTCTAATATGAACTAGTAATTACTAAATCTGTATTAAAATGTGTTCTACAAATTACTAAAAAGATAATTCATCGTAAAACGTACTTACTATTTACTCTCCCTCAAGTGGTTCCAATCCCAGGTAGCAAAGAATTCTGGCCCAGATTTGGCATAAAGCTGGCACAGCAGGCATTCGTCCGGCACTGGCATACAGCATGTGGGCCAAATATGGCCTAGGTTTGGCCGAGGTGTCACTGTCTAAATGTGGCTCTCAAGACTTGGGCCAGATATCATATGTAGTATTTGGCCCAGATGTTAAAATGTATATGTGGGCCACGTAGGGTTGGCCTATCTTTACCCACTTTTAAAATACATTAAAGTTATTTTTGAGTAAAGAAAATAATCTATCAATCAGGTCGCTTCAAGAAAAAGCACAGCCATAAGGAAAAAACATTGACACACCAACATTATTTGGCCCATTTATGGGTATTACCTTGGCTGAGACTTGGCCCAGATATGGTCCACGTTTATCTATGTATGGAATTTAGACTCGGTCCAGCCATGTACCGTAATTCACTGCGGCATGTGGGCCAAGCAAATGCTGATGGTGTGGGCCAGATCTGGGCCAGAGAAATTTTGCTTTATTAAGCAGTGTTGTGGAAAGTTGCTTTAGAAATTAATTAATTAGAATATCAGGTTACTCCCCAAAAAAGTAACTAGTTGTGTTACTTATTAGTTACTTTTTATGGTGAGTAATGTGTTACTTTTGAGTACTTTTGAGTTACTTTTGCGTTACTTATCCTGACATGTTTTCCAGAGATAGGTTGCGGCTGGAAGGGCATCCGCTGCGTAAAAACTTGCTGGATAAGTTGGCGGTTCATTCCGCTGTGGCGACCCCGGATTAATAAAGTGACTGAGCCGAAAAGTAAATGAATGAATGAATGATATCCTGACATGGCTGAGGCTTGATCTCTTTGTTCTTTTCAAGAAAAACTTGTATCCAATACCTCTTTTCAAGAACTATTCATATATAGCGACAATTACTATTATTTATGTTATATATATATATATATATATATATATATATATATATATATGAATCATTATATTAAAACTATATTCATATATTATCATAATACTGTGTATGTACATATTTTTATATTAAAGGGGTGGTCCACTACGATATTATATTTTAAACTTCAGTTGATGTGTAATGTAGCTGTGTGAACATAAACAGCATCTCTGAATGTAAAATATTCAAAGTTTAATGCAAAGGGAGACCTTGATTTGTACAGAGTTAGCTTAGCAACGCCTACAATTAACGAATTTTGGGGACTACAAAAAATACTTCCGCCCCCTGTGAGATCACAAAAGTTCGTTATTGCGCATCCCACACTGCGCAGGTAAAGGCCGTGGCCATAGGCGCTGTAACGTTACTGCAGAGAGAGAAATGCCATCCTGCTGTTTCCACAGAGCTGTTCTGTTTCTGTTGTTGGGCTTCCAAATGACACGACCCAAACACAGAAGTGCTTACAGTTCAATATTAATTATGTTCCAGAGAACTATAAAATACATAGCAAGCATGATTTGACAAAACACAGCTTCCAGAATCTCTCCCAGTTCAGTGCTGGATTCAGTTAAAATCTCCTCAAAGATGGAGCAAGGAGACGCTGTGAACTCTGAGTCATGACCTGTAAGTGTTTTTATTTGTTAAAATTGATCATGACATGTACAGTGTCTAACTTTAACGGTGTGTTGTAGCAAAGATGTAAACAACGGGAAATTATGGTAACCGCTAACGACTTAGCTAACGTTACAAATCCATATTTATCAAACGGCTGTAAACGCACACACACACATACACATACACGCACTCTTGGCCAGCACCTGCGTCTCTCTGTGGGAGACGGCAGAGTTTCTCTCTATAGGCAGCTTTGCTATGCGTTTTACAACTCGGACAATAAAGTCGCAAAAGATATGTGAACGATTCATGTTACTTACACAGGCATATTCCGCATATGCATGATAGACGTCCTGTAACGCGTTGATTTAAAAAAAATACAGCAATGATTTCCCAACTGGAGTGTAACATCAAAAACAAATCAATCCAGGCTCACAAAGGTCTCATCTCACATCTTGTGCTTTATTCTGTCACCATAGAAAATAACTTAATCCGAGCATGAGAGAAAAAGAACAATAAAAATCTCTCCCGCGCACATGCGCTTCTCGTGTTACAGATACTTCATCGTATACACGCATAAACACACTAAAAGGCACAGAAACAGTTAAAGGAGCCGCATCCCATTTTCACTCGTTACAGACACGTGTTGACTGACTGACTGACTGACTGACTGTTTACACAAAACGCGCGTGCTTGTCAGGGCGTGACGTGGAGCCGATCGGCGAATCACAGCATATTATGAGGATGACCAATCAGAGTCACTTGAGGGTGGGCCTTTTAGAGAAACTAGGAAATATGACAGTCGTTTTCATGTTAGCTGAGTAGCTGTGTATAATCAAAGTGAGATTTATGAAAAAATAACACGATTTCCTTCAAGTTAAACATGAGCACACATTGCTTTGCATCTTATTAACACAACCAAGCCTTAAAAATAACATTCTGGACCACCCCTTTAAATCTTTTTTATTTATTGTGGTTGTAGTCTCCACCCAAGGCCACAAGTTGGTGCTCGAGGGCCCGTGGAGAGTCTGACAGAATGAAGAAAGTGTTTTTGTTTGCCCTAATTTGAGGTTTTCGAGGTTGTTTAAATACAATAAGCCCTAATCAGCATCTCTAGTAGAGAATTTGGCATACTGTTCCACTCAGCTTCCTAAATATCTTTGAATACCACAGTTATCAAACATTAATAATAAATCGTCATGCCATTGCTTGTCAGATTGTATGAATATTTTTACAGTAAAAGCACTAAATAAGTGAAAATGTGTCATGGTGACATTATACAAGTGAATTGGTTTACGACAGATGCCATGGAACTGCAAACATGATCATACTGATGCCATTAGTTTATGATTGTGCCCAGGGTCAGAGGTCATCAGTACATTTAGAAGCCCTAAAGAAAGTTTATACTCCATTTGTGCAGCTTACATAGCTCTTCAGCAGACTTTGTAGCAAATCATATACAAATTATACATAGTGCAAATATTAGAAGCATGTAATCCTTCATTAAGACTCCATTAGTAGTTTTTTTTAATGTTATAATTAATACAAATATGGGCTAGAATTCTTTGCTACCGGAGTAATTACCCTAACTTTACCCTAATTAACCTAGTTAAGTCTTTAATTGTTACTTTAAGCTGAATACTGAAGAATATCTAGTCTAATAGTATGTACCCTCATCATGGCAATGATAAAAAAACAGCTATTCGAGATGAGATATTAAAACTATTATGTTTAGAAATGTGTTTTGGAATTTGGCAAAATATACAGTAGGGTTAATAATTTTGACTTCACCTCTATATATGTAAATATTATGGTTTTGTACTTATATATATATATATATATATATATTTAATTTATATATACAGACTGTTTATGCACAGTGAGTAGTAGTACACAGACATTACGCAATTACAAGCTGCGATTAATCGTTTGACAGTGATAATGTTCATTTAAACACAAAATATTCTTCATTATTAGGAAGATGTACATAATAAAAGATCATCATTGGCCATTAATAGTTTTTAAAAGTACACAATAATAGTTCACAAACCTCATATTACCCCCCCACCCTGCATAAAAAATCCAGCTTAAACCAGGCTAGGATGGTTGGCTGCTTTTAGCTGGTTGACCAGGCTGGTTTTAGAGGGGTTTTGGTCACTTCCAGGCTGGTTTACAGCCATTTTCAGCCATTTTCAGCCCTGATTTTAGCTGGTCAGGCTGGGAGATGATCAGCTAAATCCAGCTTGACCAGCCTAGCCAGACTGGGAGCCGAGCCAAAACCAGCTATATTCAGCTTAAACCAGGCTGGTTAAGCTGGTTTTAACTGGTTTTAACTGGTCACTTTCCAGCCAGACCAGCTAAAATCAGGCTGGAAACCAGCCTGGAAGTGTCCAAAACCCCTCTAAAACCATACTGGTCGACCAGTTAAAACCCGCCAACCATCCAAGACTGGTTTAAGCTGGATTTTTCAGCAGGGATACCTCATTTGACCTTGCAGCAAATCACAAACAAATTACACAAACCTGCTTACCCGGTGGCATCACTACAACTTCAACTATCATGAACTTTTTTTTTTTTTATTAAACAGCTGTTTCCGTTTGCTCTGGACACAGAGATGAGATTCAGTCATAACAGTGCGTGTTTGTGTATTAATTAATTACTCATTATCAGTTTCCCCATGAGCGGATCATCACAGCTTCGGATGCCAGTGACGCATACAGTCACATGACGCAGCTGCTGGTGACGTACGGCGTGAGTTTCTTTCCCCGTTTAACACACACACACACACACTCTCTCACACACAGACACACACTCGACTGGACATAAACAAGAGTGAAGGGCCTTTGTGTTACACTCATGTTTCTATCTTCCAGCGTTGATGTGTGTATGGCGCGTTTCTGACGGCATCTGGCTCGTGCACGCGGGTGAGTTTGTGCTCGACTTTCATTGTTACTCAACGACGTCACTATCTATCATTACAGCAGCTTATACTGCACTGATGCGTGGAAAGTGTGTGTGTGTGTGTGTGTGTGTGTGTGTGTGTGTGTGTGTGTGTGTGTGTGTGTGTGTGTGTGTGTGTGTGTGTGTGTGTTGTAATGGCGACAGGAAGAAGGGGCGGGGATGTAGTTTGTGGTTATGGTTTATAATATGTGATCATATTTCATAATATTAGTATTCATAAGCTGAAGTTGGCACACGTGTGTGATTTACTAGAGCTGGGATCTTCAGCTCAGCACATCTGCTGTACACAGTGTCATGCTGAAGTTGGGTTTGTGATCAGTTTGACTGTTTAATTATTCCTCTATTTTATTTGCATATTTACAACCTGTCCTTCTAGTCAGTGATCAGGTTATTTTTTAATAACTCCTATATGCTCAAAATGTGTCCCTGGTCACAATTTAACAATGACTGACCTGTATATATGTACCAAATATTGCATATCGAGCAGTGTGTGCTAATTTTGAGATTGACTGATGAGCAGAACTTATTATTTTCTAGGTAATGTCTCAAAAATCTACATCTCTCAGTGGTTTTGTTAACCACAATATCTGTTTAGATTGTTTAGTATTGGCAGATTGTGGTAAAGTTGGCTTTATATACGCACATTTGGTCCATCACAAATTCAAAACAGGGAAATCATATTAGCAACAAATGACCATCAGTACAACTTTCTCAGTCAGCTAAATAGTGCTAATGTTGTTTTGAAGTCTTATTTGCGATTTTTCGGTGGTGAAATAGGTACTGAAAAATCATACTTAAGTAAAAGTACCATTACTAGCCTAAAATGTAGTGCGAGAAGAGTAAAAGTATCTATTGTAAATATTACTCAAAGTATCAGTAAAAAGTAGCCCTTTTAAAAGTATTCAAGAGTGGTGAGTATTACGCTGTGAAAAGCTGATGCGTTTACATGTAACTTGTGGATGTGTGTAAACGTAACATTCTGTAGTGCAGCGGTTCCCAAACTGGGTTGCGCAGTCTGACCACCAGGGGTGCCCGAGAGAACGCTTGCAGGGCTCAACAATAAGGACTGCCCGATGGCCCGGGGCCAGCGCGTGAGATGCTCGGGACAGTAGACAGGATCGTTACTGGCCCGATTGGGCCACTAATGCCCTGTCACTATTAGTTTAATTTGCCTGTGACTATTTGTCAATTGCGTGCAAATACAGTCAGAATACAGAAACCGTTTGTGTTTTTAAGCCTTCAAATGCTACCTTCTCGGTTGCTCTTATCTGATTGGATGTTGTGAGCATGTTATTTTTTTCCATAACAACCAGTAGAGCTAAGAGACAGCAACATGGCGGCAACATCGAGTGATGATGCTAAACGAAAACATTTGTCTATAACATCTTGGAACCAGACTTTTACGAGGGTACACAACGACAAAAAAATGAAGTGATGTTTTGTACAGTTTGCCGTTAGTTTGGCAGGTCAGTCATCTTTTGATACCTGCACATTTTGCTACTTTTGTTTGCAAAACACTTTATTAACATTTTTTTAAATATTTAAATTCTAGATTTACAAACATTTTGACATTTTTTTTTATTTGTGGCTAAGAAATAGCTATTAACTTTTTTTGGTGGGGCCAGTGACAATACTGGCAGGGCAAGTAAAAATCTGAACCACTGGTCCGATCGGGTCAGTAGAAAAAAATCCTTAGCGTTGAACCCTAGCTTGTAATAGCGGAAAATTTGATCTTTTATTATTTTTATGCATTTATCTTTGGTAAGATAAATGCATAAAAATAATAAAAAATGGGAGATGGAGAGACTCCTGGAAAAAATGGGAGTGTTGGCAGGTATGGTTGACATTTGACATTGAAGTACAACATCCATCTAACATCATGTTCACGACTTGTGCCTGCTGGTTGTTCGAGGCCATTTTGGTCATCATATAGTAAACATCTGTCATCATCTCATCACTGACATGCATCTAAACAGTCTCTGGGTCAATGCTTGTAAAGATTTTGAACATCTCCTTGGACACTTTTAATGCTTCCAAACTGTTTGCTGCAATTATAAATCGCTCATGTCTCGAGGTAGTTCGTTATGATGAGATTTACTTTAGTGTGATTTGATTGGAGGAATCACAGGACTGATTATTCTAATCCCCATAGACAAGAAAAAATAAATTGGTGACTGCAGATTAAAGGAAAGTAGTGGAGTAAAAGTACCAATTATTGCTCTAAAAATGTACTTGATGTGCATGTAAGGGCAAGAAAAAGTACACATTTTTTTTATAACTTAGTTTTTATTGATTTTTTAGGAACATATAACCAGTGGGAACAAAACAAGCAAAATAAAAAAAATAATAAAAAAATACACATATTCATAAATATACATATGTATACATACTTGTATAGGCAAATACATCCATTCCACACATGTATATCCATATACACACATGCATAAAAATATTAAATTAACCTCATCAAAATAAATAAATAACTAAGTATAAAATAAATCATAGTACAAGGTTGCCAAACATATTTTCACAATGATACATAACCTCTAGAATTATGTAAATGTTCAGTTATGAATAATTATATTGTCGTTGAGGAGAAAGCCAGCCATTTACCCCATTTCTTTTTAAAGGTTTCTAATTGTAATCGAAGTGCATGTGTCATTTTTTCCATTTCCTTAACTTCTGCTATAATTTTAAAGCATTCGTCTTCAGTTGGTGGCTCTTCTTTATACCATTTCCGGGTTATAGCTTTTTTGCTTGTTGCCAAAAATATCTTAAATAGATATTTATTTTCCTTTTTAAGATTAATAGGAGTATCTCCTAGATAAAAAGTACACATTTTTAAAACTAGTTAGTGAAGAACAATTTCTGAGAAAAAATACTTTATTACAGTAGTTTGAGCATTTGTACTTTGTTTCTTTACACCACTGGCGATTTTAAACTGAATATTCAAAATAGCCTACTTAAAATTATAGTGATGTCACAAGTTGTCACGTTTGCTTAAAAATGAACAGTCACATTTTATCCATCTGACAGCACTTATCACTCGCATGATGCATTAAAAATCAGATGTTTTATTGATCACTGTATATATTTTTATTTAGTTATACTTTAAAATATATACGATTTAATATGTTCTGAATGAAATTTTATTTGTAGACGGTTCCTCCCATAAACGGTGACACCACAAGTTCATCCATATTAGAGATATGTTTGCTTATTGGCTGTTTTAAAATGCTGAGCTACTGGCTGCATCTGAAATTGCATACTTCCATACTGTATAGTCTGCTGAAAACAGTATGCGAGACAATATCTGATATATCAGACATTGCAATTTTAAGCTTTTATGCGACTTAATTTTGCAATATGAAATAATTTATAAATGAATATAAATTAGGTATTAAAATTATTTGATTAAATAAAAATAAATGAAATGTAAAAGTTTAGATAAATTAGGTTAAATGAAATAAAACAATTAAAATAAATAAATAAATCTATCTATCTATCTGTCTATCTATCTATCTATCTATCTATCTATCTATCTATCTATCTATCTATCTATCTATCTATCTATCTATCTATCTATCTATCTATCTATCTATCTATCTATCTATCTATCTATCTATCTATCTATCTATCTATATATATATATATATATATATATATATATAATTCATAAAATTAAAATTATATGTAAATAAAACAATTTAAATATAAAAATTACATGCGTATTAGTATTGTTGCTAAAATTGCTCAGATGCTTCTATCCTCTTCCTGTCAAACTCAGGGAAGTCCAGTCCAATTATAGTAACTTTAAAGTTTGTTTAAAGATGTATTTTTTTTTTACTTTCACTTGTTGATTTAAATGACTGTATTGTATTGTAGTTAGAGATGCTCCAGTTCAGGATTTCTTGTCATGGTGATCGGCCGATACAGGGTACGGATTCTGATGTTTCAAGCTTTATTATGCTTTAAGCACGTTTTCCCTGATATTAGAATGATACTTTAGTAGAGATCTCCCCTGACCTCAGAGAATAAATGAAGGATGCTGCATAAAATCCCTTAAACACGTCTCTATTGTCGATGTGAACATGCCATGGCCAGAAGCAGAAAATAGATAAAACAGATACAAAATTGGTACGAAAAATGACAAACAATACAATTTGGAAACACTGCAAGTAATGAAGAAGAATTCAACATGTTTCAATCAATCAATCAATCAATCAATCATTTAATGCAGGGGACACCAATCTCGGTTGTGGAGGGCCGGTGTCCCTGCAGGGTTTAGCTCCAACTTGCCTCAACACACCTGTCTGGATGTTTCAAGTATACCTAGTAAGACCTTGATTAGCTTGTTCAGGTGTGTTTGATTAGGGTTGGAGCTAAAATCTGCAGGACACCGGCCCTCCAGGAACAAGTTTGGTGAACCCTAATTAAATGCATAAGAATTTATAAATACATTACTTCTTTACCAAAAGGAAACAGGCCTATAAACTAGTGTTTATTGCTATTAGTATATTAAAGGAGGACATATTATTAAATGTTCATGTTACAAAATATTGTTTTTTAAGTTTCAATATATGTAGTATTTCCAGCCAGCTTTTAGTGAACTTGCAGTATTATCAAAAACACAAGTTCTTTTAGTTCTTATATGTAAAAAGGCTAAATACATGCAACGTAATCCTAATATTTTGCTCATCTGCAGCTAACACAATCACTTGCGATCGGTTCATGAGATCAGCCAGATCAGCGAGTACCAATCGAGTCATCAAATGTGATCATTGGCCGATGCCGATCGATTGGAACATCCCTAATTGTAGTGGTCAGTGCTTTGAGAAGCTGCTTTCAAAGGCACTTCATTAACTAAAATGTATGTATGTTATTATTATTATTATTATTATTATTATTATTATTATTGTTGTGATTATTATAGTTTTTCTGTGACTGTATGGAGTCTTAAATC